GGTTCATATTCAATATGAACATTTCCTACATGATTAAAGGTTCGAAGGTATTGACTTTCAACAAAATATCGAGTAAATACCAAAATAACAATCCAAATAAGAAGTTTGTGATAAACACACGAACCAAACTACCGTGCATGTTGACTTAATATATTCTCACAGTGGAACATATCGTGTAATCATGTTCGGAATATCAAAGGATTTATACTCATCCAAAATATATTCATCAAAGACCCACCCCTACTTCGTGTGTTAAAATAAATTGGTTTCCGGAATTTTGTGATGACTACTAATACGTTCATTGGTGAGTAAGCACTTAATCAAATTAAAATCGATTAAGCGGTTTCTACGAAATTATTATTATAATTTCTTTTATATTTATAAAAGGTAGGGTATCAAACTTTTTATAAATATACATATACTCACACGTTAGGGTTGTGATAACATTATATCATCAGCCTATAAGTGCCCACTCCTTAATAAAGGCCTCTTCTCACACGAATAAGGTTTGAATATCAATCACGCTTACTCAAGGCAGATTGGCGATTAACACTTATAATTAGAAATCATAAGTCAAGGTTTCCTCACGATTCTTTCTTTCGCCGTTTGCCGGTGGTATCTAAATATTCTTATAGAGTACATTGAACTCGGAAAAAGTAGCAACTATACTTGCAAGGTTTTAAACCCGGACTTTTGTGCATGAGAAGAGTCTGCCTAAATCTTCAGGGCACCACGACACATTTATCACATTTTTTTAATGGGAGATAATCTCTTTCTCAAGATGAGGCGAAAGGGAGTGTCAGAATCCTCCTGGCTAAAAATCACCCTGTTCGTTATCTGTCTCCTGGCCGATCGTGCGGTCCCTTATTAAGCTTGCCCCGAAACAGTACTCAGTACATTTATCATATCTAAGTCTAACAATTGTTGAACCTTGAAAGCAAATGTCCCTAAGATCGGAAAAAGAGGATCCTTTGACCAGGTGAGGTGATTATGCTTGCCTGACTACTGACTAAGGTTGCAGTAACTAAAACAATAACCGAGAAAATATCCAGAGTTTGATCTCCCTCATGTCAGCCTTAAAGTGACAATGAAGGTGGAATCCAGAAAATGCAGTAATTAGAATTGTCTTTCAAGATACTCAAGCAGAAAGTCTATTACTGTTTCCAATAAAAACTTAGAAAACAATATCAAATAAATAACTTTAATAAAAAAGGAAAAAAGATGAACAGTGGATTCTAGAACATTTTTATTTTTTCCAGGAATGTAAGAATGCTGTTCTCTTTTATTTGAGATTATCCCTAAGAAAGCTTTTGCAACACGATGTTAAAGTACAAAACTGGTTTTTCAATTCATTGCGTTGCACACAATGTTTTTTCTATAATAATTAATGTAATCCAAGCTATTGTAAGCAAACGTGTTGATTAATTTAAGATTGGGAGAGCCATGCATCGGCACGAATGGGCTGGCTCCACCGGAGTGATGCCACGGCACGGTCTTACACTAACACTAACACATCTAACACTTACGTTGGTTTTGTAATTTGCTATTATTAATTAAATCGTATGAGTTTTAATTTATTATTGATATAAAACAGCTAAACAAGTGGCTGATGGACATCTTACTTTAGTTAGAAGTGCCACGTAGAAGAATTGTCAGTTATCGACAATTTGTTTGTTTTGCGATTGCGTTGCCAGCCTTTTGGGGATAAGGGTTTTGGATATTAGGGATGGGGGAATAGGAAGGATTGGGTGTTTTCAGATCAGGATGTGATATTATGTACATTGCCCACACGTAAACATTTGAAAATGCACCACATGCGTATAGTGCTTGTTCTAAACTATTATAAAAGATGTATTAAACTGATTTTTACAAATAATCTTTGTATCTTTTATAACCAATAGGAACGATAAACGACAGGGTCTCAAATTAAAAAGAACCAATCACGTAATTATGTTTCGTTTAGTATTAATTTCACCAATTGACAATTACCATAATTATTCCATATAATTACAATAAAAAATTTAAATACTAGGGTTCCTCAAAGTTGATGATAAACAAATACAATATATTTTATAATATTTGAAGACAGAAAATCTCTTTTAAAATTTAATTATTGATTATTGGTTGTCAAAATTCTCGCCAACGTAATGTTTAACTTAGTTTAACAGAATATTAGTCAGCAATACCTTCATGACACAAATAACAATATAATACGGTAGTTTCCAACTAGTCAAATTCAATACTTTTATCCAAATGTCAAAAACGATACTTTTCTATGAAATTTGTATCAAAAACTAAGTTATGACGTTATAGAATTTTTGCGTCAAATAGCTTACTAGGCTGTTGCTGTAGATGCTAGAGTAGGCTGCGCGACGTCGCCGCGTCCGCGCACGCTGCTCATGAGGAAGAACCCCTCTGTGGTTCGAAACTAGTAGAGCTTTTCTCATCATTTACACGTGAGTAACCCGCGAATTTTAGTTAATTTAGTATGTCTCACGATAGTTATTATAAAAACATAGCTTACTTATTTATTAAAAGTTAGCTAATCTAAAATTTTGTCTATCTATCGATCGCTGAATAAAATTATAGTTATTTTTCAATATTTTATCGTATTGAAACGTCGAATTAATTTATTTTGAACCTAGGAAACACATAGGTAAGCATTTAGTAAATATCGGTTATTTCAATATTATAAACAGTCACTCCTATTTTATTAAAATGCATAGGTATCTCGTTGTATATGTATCTATATATGTAAAGATTATTTATTTTATACGTATATTAGAAATTATACGCCAGAATGTACATAAATAAAAACCTTAGTGAGGACAAAAGCTTATAGACACAACTAAAGTATATCCCAGTCAATACCTAAAGAGCTTATCTAGACGCGAACAAAGCTACCGGTTGTCTATCCACTACAAATGTGAATAGCTTCCCGCATCGGCAAAAATAGGTCGTCGAAATCTGAATAAAAATCGTGTACTGTGTAGTTCCATAGTTAATGCATTCCGAACTTAGATGGTTAGATCGGTATGTGAGTTGAGGCATACTATTATGTACCTAAGTTATTATTTATTATTCATTACTGAACCAATGTGCAAATGGAAAGCTAAGTGGGAAATTGCGAAGATTCAAATTCTGTTCTGTTACTGAATTCGGGAACAACTCTTTGTGTGATCCACAAATTGTTGTTCCAGGTCTGGTTGTGATGTGTATGTGAAATTGTATGTTTGTAACCGCACCCACGACAAAGGAGAAAAAAAAATAGACCTAAGACCTATTCTTTATTTCCCTCCCCATTGGCTAAGCCTCCAAAATTCTAATCTCAAAAGCTATTCCTCTGGTGTTACGCATGTATTGCGACGCACGACGGTGCCTATTGCTTACCATCAGGTAGTCCGTGTCCCAAAAAATATATACTTTTATTTTATTGAATAGGTCGGCAAACGAGCAGACGGATTACCTGATGGTAAGTAATTAGCGCCGGACACCCGTAACGGAGGAGTAGCGAGTGCGTTGCCAACCTTTTAGGGATTAGCGTTTTGGACATTTAGGGATTGGGAGGGATCGGGGGAGGGGAAAGATTGGGTCTCCAGTAAGCTCACTCACACAGCGAAACACAACCAACAAAAATATAGTATATTTTTCTCATACTTTGAGGTTTTACTCATGTAGTTGGCCACAGGTCTTTTAATTTAAAAGAAAAATTACCGAAAAGTTTAAAATAAAATCTCTAACTTCCCTCAAATTTTTTGTTTTTTTTTATGGAGTATGAGGCACCTGATGGTAAGCGATCAGTGTCGCCCATGGACATCTACTACTAAAAAGTCTTTTTGTTAATTAAATGTGATAACTAAGTCACCTACATGGGAATAATGGCAAAATACGTCTAAAGAACAGGTATTCCATTTGATGAAGACTGCATTCTGCCGTCTCTGTCTGGGAAAATATGTTTTGAATATACCATATAATATCGTGAGACATCAATCACGTGGATGAACTAAGAAAAGTTCTTCTAGTTTGTGATGACAACGGGACTCTTATTAAGCAGCGTGTGCGTCGCGGTGACGTTGACGACAGTTGGCTGTTATCTGTCGTCGATGTCGTAAAATATTAAAGCTTTTGTTAGTTCATTCGCGTGAAAAAGACGTTATTTTTAATAAATTTCGTAAAAATAGATATAGGTAAATCATATGCGTTTTGTGACTTTGAAAACCTCAGCTCTGAATCTGGAATTATCCCCAATGATCTTACTACAGTCTCTATCCAGACTTCAGTAAGTTAACTGGCAAATAATGAATGATATAAGTTAAAGCTTATTCCACATCTTTTTCCTTCAAAATATTTCGCCAGTAAACAGATAAGGAAATTAGTTTTTCTTTTATATTATAAGTGGTCTTATTGATGAGATAGTGTTTATATCGTGTATTTTGTGTTTATAACACACAACATATATTTTGTACACACTATAAACAATAACAAAAATATCGTAACTATTATTATTATTACAAAATATCAACACGTAGCGTGTTCTGTAAAGTTTAATTAAAATATAGCCAATTTTGCACTATTGATTGTGGATAACCTTGGTTTCGCTAACTTTGCACAATACAATCGATTGTCCCTAACCACAATTAAACCTAATTAATTACAATTAGTTCGTCGTACGTGCCTTAACAACTTTCTTCACCATATGCGGAACAATTAATTGAATAAAGCTGCTCCACTTGTCTACGAGCCGCTTGTTAAAACGGACAGGTTGATACAAGCGTCATTGTAGTTTTGAATCTCTCAAAATGAAGTCTGAACCTATCGATTTATCCCGTCACATTTCGTTACAAATCAGAGCTCTCAAACTGTTCAAAATATGGTTCTACATACCTTACAACGCGAAGGATTTCCGATTTTGGATCTCTATTTGGACAAGAATAGTTTTGGGCATCGCTGTGTTTGTTATACCGACGGGTAGCCAATTTATTTATGTAGTGCGTCTCATAATGTCGGGGAACGCTGAAATACAGGAGGTGGCCGGAATGTGAGTACTGACTTTGTTTAATATGATTCTCCATCGTGTCCTCGGGTATAATTTGATTTTGCCATTATCTTGCATGATAAGCAGGATACGTACTTAGAAGCGTATGTGAAATATGATTAAAATCTTAATCTAGTTAGTACCGTGAGTATACTTGAAAATGTTTCTCTTTCTTTGAAATTTTACTTTCATTTCTTGCTAGTTAATTTTTGTATCAAATAAGCTTAAATTACGTCTTTGAAATACTTTATTAATCATCAAGGTTACATTTAAAAGCATCTGTCAAGTTAAAAAAAATATACCGTTTATAAATTATGGAAGGGACGACTAATCTACTCTGTGGACCGAAGTACATCGGAGAGTATATTTTTTCAGATGCTAACCTTCTCTGGGTCCCATAAAATTCCCTTGGAAGGGACGATGAGGGTAAAATACGTCAGTGGTATGACGTACATACTTACGAACATTTATTATAAAGGCTCCAAGCAGACTACTTACTTAGATGTAACGGAATTCCGATATCGTGAAAAGGTTACTTAGATACGGCGTAGATATTTTAGTAACAACGCCAATCGATTAGACTGAGCAATACAAAATATATAATCCTTCTTGCCAACACAAAAAAAACATTAAATTTACTATTAAAATCTTTTTGTCATTGTTATTCACCAAAGACTTGTCCCGCTTCAGTCGGGAGTGTCAGACTATTAAATGGGACTAACTAAAATCCATCGCGTGCCTTCTTCTGCTCTTGGCTCTCGCCGCAGCTAGCCCTATTGATATATTTAGCTTTAACTCGCTAATCCACCTTGAGACGCCGAGGGTGATGATATACAAACCTTCTCCATGCAAGAAAAGGGTTTTGCTCAAGAGTAGGCTTTTGAAGCTGATGATGATGAAGACAAATAACTCATCACTATTATTAAAACAAATAGCGTGACTACTTCCCGCATAAACTTCACTAGGTATATCATGTAAATAAAAAGTAAAAAGGTATTTTTTATGGTAATCTTGGACAATCTATTTAGAGATCGTTTAACAATTTGTAATGGTTATAATATTTTGATTGAAACAGTTTTCATTACGAAAACGGGGACAAAAGAAATGCTTTGAAAATTGTAAAGAACCCTTCCGTGCTCATAAATTACATTATAACGACACAATAAATCTGCCGAGGTACGGGAATCGCGTGTAACATACATGACAAACCTAAATGAAACTGGTTTTTTTTAACTTTCATTTCATTTGTTAAGGTCAAATCTTATCAGTGACCTACTTACATAATAACAGTGAGTTAATACCCTTTGGGCTGACGACAAGACAATATCTTTGCGATAAATGTTTTTCGAAATAAGCGGAATATTGTGCGGATGTAGCATCATACATTCCGTCGTACATGTAAGCACATAACGTGCATAGTTCGCAGTCCTTTGAAGATACGCTGCTGCAATCTGTTTCGAAGTTACAGATAAGACTGTTTTATTCGTCCTATTTAAATGTTAATTGACACCGCTTTTACACTTCGAAGAGTTTGATAACAAAGTTCTACTTAACTAGTTTTAACATTGATATAAAGTTGAATGACTTATGTTCTGCAAAATATATAAATTTTACTATTTCAAGTAGATTTAGCAGTCTGGTTATTTACCAAATCATTAGTTCAGTCACTATTTCCGGATCAACGGTTAACTGTTATGGAATTACAATACGGTAGTTTCCAAAATGTCAAAAACGGTACTTTTCTATGAAATTTGTATAAAAAACTGAGTTATGACGTCATCATATTTTGCGTCAAAAAGCTTACTTATTTCTTAAGCTACAAAATATCTAATACTTAGTGTATCGATCGATCGATGAATAAAAGTATAGTTATTTTGCAAGATTTTATTGTGTTGCAACGTCGAATTAATTTATTTGTGATCTAAGAAACTACACATTTGACTTATTAAATATTACAGCATTAACTTGGTATTGACTGAGCTCCTGGTTTCTCTGAGGCTCTTAGATTTGAGTTTACGCCGTCATCTGCTTTCACAACTCGCTGACCACCTGAAGAGCGAAGAGTTCCAGTTTAATACGCCAGCACAGAAGAGAATATTGGAAAAAGCCGTGGAATTTTCTAGAAGGCTGTTCTGGATATTGCTTTGTAGCTGCAGTTCTGATGTTCTTGGTTAGTATTGAATGAAGTTCTATTTGAATAAGTTGTTAAGAGAAGTATGTGGTAATAGAATACATTTTGTTACCAATCCTACTATTTTCACAGATTAAAAGCGTCAACGCAACAAATGAAAAATCATAGAAACTACTGAACCGATTTAGATAAAACTTGACATATAAGTACATATGTAATACCAAATTTTTATAAAATATTTTTTGAAATAGCTTAAGGAAAACCGTTTGAAAAGTTAATTTTATGCTTGAATAGAAACTTCAAATTGCGTGTGTGCTCAGTCTTAATAAACTATCTTTCGAAAATGTGCTAAGTTTTAAGACCTTGATATGTATATTGCATAAAAGTAGCAAGTTTCATTAAAATCTGATTTCAATACAATGCGATTGTATCGATGTAACTTTTATAACAAATCTATGTTGAAATTGATTGACAAATTACTTTTTTAATAAGAAATACGCAGTTCGTACTACGTATTCCTTATTTTTAGTTGGCAAGAGTCTGTCACAAGATTTAGCCCGCACAAAAAAAAAAACAATGACTAGAATAGAACTATTATTTAAGGACTGATTATGTGCCACGTAAGTTTACATGGAACTTATTGTATATTTAAGACTATATTTGTACTACAAATTTAGATTTAGATATCTTGTTGCTTTGGTTGTCTCAAATAATTACTCTTGTATTTCACGATTGTTTAACCTTGCAAGAAGCGGTTCGTCTGCCTGTATAATTAATTATTTTCTTATGTTTACCCGTCGATCTAATTGGCATCTGTATTATTCCAGTACACGTCGTGGTTGTGCCGGCTTTGCATAATTTCCAAACTCTACCTCTAAAGATGGATCTCGTGTTCTTAGACGTTGATAAAGAATCGTATTTCAATTATTTATGCGCTTATCAGGTACGTACGTTTTAGCTTAATATATTACTATATTTGTAAACCTATTGAAACTTATTATTAACTATTTAGTCATGTAAATGAAAGATATTTGTATATTGAGAAAAGATCTACTAGTTTTAGTCAGTGTCACGTTGTCGCTGCGACAAGCATGCTGTTTATGAATAAGAGCCCCGATGTAACTTGAAACCAGTAGAGTTTTTCTCGGTTAATTGACGTAAGTTGATTTTAAGTTGATTTTTTATGACGCACTCTAGTTACTATCCAATATTAAACATGCTATATTTGTAACCAGTAAATAAACTATTCTGATACAAACATTATTTAATAATATTCAGAAACGATAATATAGTAAGATGAAATAGGTTTCGATTTTCAAAAAACTCAATAATATATGAAAGTTTTATCATAATTATTATTTTCAGATATTGTATAAACCTATGATGCTGGCTACATTCGCAGCGCTCCAAACATTACCCTGGGCCATCATGACTTGCGCAAGTAAATTAATTTTGCATATATTTAAGCTTTTGTAATGCATAAAATCTGAATAATATCATAAATCTCGTCAAGCACAGAGTCATCTGGGATAAACACATCGCTTAGGGGAAATTTGGACAATAGACGTCCATATTTTATAAAAAGGACAGAAAAAACATTATTTTGTATAAGTACGTAGGAGGTTAAATGGGAATTAGGCAAAAAATCATTGAGTATAACTACATGTCGACAAAGTAAAAGCCGCAACCGTGCCGCGGGCCACAGAGAAAAAAAAAATATTCCCACGAAAAGTAAGACAACAGAGTTTTCGTTCCGTTTTGAATATTAACATCGCATGAAATAGGTTCAAAGGGCGTTGATTCTGAATGTAAAAAAAAACTTTTCACGTGTACGTCTTTTTATGTAGTCTATGGTTTATTTACTTTGCAGTAAGCCAATTGGACGTTTTAATTTATAACTTAGAGAATATAAGGGACCTTGTTAAGACCACTGTAACTGAAAAACAGTGCACTGAAAATGAAGCGTTCAGAGAAGTTTTCAAAGGCTGCGTTCTCCACCACTGCTCCATAATAAGGTAAGCGAATATTTTCGCTAATAATAATCACTGATATAATTAATTCGGCCCCACAAATAACTTCCTCGAATATTATGTAAATGGGCGTGATTTATTTAAATGTAATTCAGTCCGTGTTGTTTCTTTTCCAGATTTGTGAACACAATACAAAATGTGTTCGGTGGACAGTTATCAGCCACATTGTTTCTGAGCACTGGTATTTTGGGAACCACTGCTGTACAAATATTTTCGGTATGGTTTTATAAAAATAAATTACATATAACCTTAAAATTGATATTGATATATGCTTGTTGTAATTTCAAATATCCCTAGATCGAGCACAAGTAAATAAAATGAAAAATATAATAAAAAAAGAGTTTGTTATCAACACAAGAATTCACTGTATCAGCCTATAAGTGCCTACTGAGCAAACGCCTCTTCTCATACGCAGAAGATTTGAGCATTAATCACCACGCTTGATCAAGGCGGATTGGCAATTTCATACCATTAAAATTAGAAATTTAAAAGTCCTGGCTTCGTCACGATGTTTTATATGTGTCAGTGGTATCTAAATAATCATAGAAAGTACATAATATAAAACTCAGAAGAAGTCATATTACTACTTACTTACCTTACAAAGATATTTAAATCGTCATATTATGATCAATTCCACGCACAGTATGTAACATGTAACTCACAAAGCCACATTGGTACTTGCCAGCTTTGAAATTTGCCTCCGGGCCAACTCAATATTTTTAACGAGTACCATTTACCAATATTATTAGCTTGTATTTCAAAAAAAAAATACTGATTTTCTGATTTATGATTGTAAGTTAGAAAAAATGTTAAGTATAATTTCCTCTTATTTCAGATTGAATCGCCTTTGAAGAATTTGACGGAAGTCATATGGGTTCTCGCTTATTTGTCGATTTTCATTTGTAATCTATTCATTGATTGTTACTTCGGTAATACTATCACTATTAAGGTAAGAATTTGACCAGAATTTTAAGCCACTCCGTCGAATACCATAGCAAATTATATATTACTATCTTCTCAGCGCGGTTTTGTCCGCGAGGTGTATTGATAAAAAGGATATCTTTCATCTAACTACATATCAAATTTCAACCAAATTGGTCCATCCGTTTTTGCGTGAAAGAATGACAAACTGACGTACATACATTCTCACAAACTTTCACAATTAATATATGTATAAGTCGTCCATCCCGTTACAGTCAAACGTTTCAGGTCAAAAAGAATTCATTCTCTGATATTCCCTTATAAAAAAAGTAAATTTCACGCCTGTATTCTGTAAAGCCATGGTATTATTCGAACGTTTGTTAATTCATAACAATTAAAGGATATAAAATCTGATAGTTACACCAATGCGTTAACCAACCACCAAAATCAAATACAATAGCACTTAAATGCGAAAAGGTTTAAAAGCGGTTTTAGTATTTTCTAAACTACAATCCCAGGTACCATTCAGCCCAACTTCAATGCTTCTAACAAGTTTTTAGGTCAGTTGATTCTATTTTTGGACCCACACGTACAGAACTAAACTACAGCAGTTAAAAATGTTATTTAAGTAAAAGGTTTCAAATTTAAACTCGATAGTTGTTTTCAACTCGTAGAAATTAAATTAGTAAACAAAGTTGTTAAACATTTTCTGTTTAAATTTCAATTTTGTTTCTAAGTGTGACGACGTCACACGACCTCACAGAAAACCGGCGTGAAACAACCACAGCGTCGTGTTTCGCCGTGTGACTGAGGTTACCGGAGGCCTAATCTTTCCCCTCCCCCGATCCTTCCCCAAACCTTATATCCCCAAAACCCTAAAAATGTCGACATTTGGCAACTAAATACTCCGTTGTTGCGGGTGTCCATAGACTGCGCTGATTGCTTACCATCAGATAATCCGTCAACTCCTTGGCCGTCCTACCAAATAAAAAAAAATTGCGCGATGTTCATTTCGTTAGTAGACTAGCTAAAACGACTGCGTGTAGTTTGGAAAAGTCATGCTTTGACACGATGGTTCGTCTCAACTTATATACATAGTAGTATAGTATAATATATAAAACAAGCGTGAAACAACGCTTCCGTTGTATAATATATTTTTATTCAATACCATCACATCCAACTTGCAGTATAAAACTAAAAATCTAAACACTTTCTCTATGTTTTTCTGAATTAAAATTGTAGTGACAGTATCGAATGAAAACCCGAGTGAGGTTCTCATCTCATCACACCTCGACCCTTGTTAGAGGCACGTGCCAAGTCAATTCAGTTATCCATCCTAAACACTTGGCTGACCTTAAGTTAAGCTCCAAGCTTTACCCCAGGGTAACGTAACCGTTTGCTTGTTAACTTTCAATAGAAATTTCTAATAGGATAAGCATATTATTATTATCATTTCTTGAGTAGAAATTTATTAAAAACTTGGTTCTGCGTCAGGAAAGTAGCTTAGTTTTTTCAAGTAAACACCCTTATTAAGTGATAATTTGTATTTTAATGGATAAAATATTTGCTGGAATCTGTGCAGTGTGGGAAAGTCTGGCCTCGGGAAGAACGGAGTGATAATACGACCTCATAAAGTAACGGCGTGAAACTTCACTTGCGTTGCGGTTTGTTCTGTGTGTGAGGTTAACGGAGACTAGATACCCCTCCCCCATGTGCCAGTTATCACCAATTCCTAAATTACCTAATCTCCAAACCTGGCAATGTATTTGCAACACGATTGCTTACCTCCAGGTGATGCATCTGCTCGTTTGTCGCCCTACCTCACAAAAGGGAAGTAGAAGACCACGGGGGAAAAACAATGAATGTCACCTTTTTTGTGAAACAATTTTTAATGCCCTGCTTTCAGCTTTTTAGAATTATTATGTTACAAAAATGTTAAATGGGTAAAACTATCGTAGTCAACTGTTATAGATCGATTTTTTGAAAAACTAAACTAAACTATTTGTCTGTCCATGGCAAGAAAAGGTTATGTCCGCGCTTTAAACAGATTTTCTATTAATTGTCCTTTCTATACATTCTTCGTTTTTCCAATCTAGACACATATGCAATTTAAAACCCATTTTTCATCTGTTATGTAATTAGTCCTATGTAACACAGGGTAACCTTTTACCCTACACTAGGCACAATTCTAGAGGCCATCTTTGAAAATAGCACTAAACGATTTTTCTTCCATTTTCTAGAGTATGCACATCTCAACGGTAATATTTTCATGTCCTTGGATTGATTTGCCGAATACTGTAAAGAAGAATCTGGTTATCTTCATAGCGAAGACCCAGAGACCGCTTGTCATAACTGCGGCGAAGCTCGTCCCTGTCTCCCTGGAGACCTTTACCAAGGTAAATACGTTAATTTGTTTTTATTGATCTGTTTACATTAATAGTAGAACATGATGCTTAGTTTTTATGTAGAGGTGAGTAGAAATATTTGAGCTGTCCACTTAAAATATCCATAAAGTTTTGCTGGAAAAAATAATAGATTAATTATTTGATGACTTCTGGAAAGTTTTTTTTTTTTTTGTTCTGTCGTCTTTTGTTAATAGCAAATACCTTTTTAGGTCGCATCTTACAAACTATTTATTGAGTCAATAGAAAAATACATGTATACTCTTAACTTATGCCTAAAAAAGAAAAAATAATAATAACGATATTATCAACACATAATATTATCCTTTGTCAATCGTTATAATGACTAGTGGTTTGCTACTAGAAATATTGTCCTTGATCGGTCGACTTCACTTTCACAATATGGACCGTTGGCGTGAGACACGTGTATCCGAGAGAATTGGGTCAGAATTTAACGCGAAAAAACTACATGATTAATATTTAAATTTAAAAATAGGATTTATTTAAATTTTAAAATGTATAAATAGGAGTTAATGCAGGTATTTGAATATTTTTCTCGCTTTATGAACTGTCCGGTCTAAGATTCTTTGTAAATCCCATTTCAAATCATCTGGTTGACAAAAATGAAGTTTTTTTCTGATGAAAGCAACTTAAAGTAACTCTTCGAAATATAAAGGCAACATTGTAAAAAATTAAGACTTTTTCTACAAAGAGTATATTGCTATGGCTGATTAAATAGCTATTTTGTTTATTGAAATTCGTTCGTAAATAGCGATGAAGCGACGAGCTGACGCGACTTTTTGCCCAAAAATAGTTTATTGTTAAATGTATTGTGAATTTTATTGAAGAAAATACTCGCTGCGAGACAGCATAATCCTTTAAAAACAAGTACATTTTTTTACTCAAACGAACAATTTGATGTAAACAAAATATTACTAGAAAATGAAATAGAATTTTCTTTGTATGTCATTGTATACATATATATTTTTTATTTTTTCCTAATCCAATAAACGCCAAAAGAGAGCTGGGCAGTAGAAAAAGGCCCGGAGCGCTTTGAAACAGTGAAAACGTTCGTAAGGTGGGCTGTCGAAAGCAGGAAACTATTTCCGCCATTAAAGGAAAAACTGTACAATTTCCCTTTGCTAAAAAAGATGAATTATTTAATCAATAAATGGCTCAGTTAGCGTAGAAGAATTTGGAATATTTAGCTTTGAACTTCTTTATTGAATACTCACGTCCGATAAAGAATTTCGTGAGCACCCTGTTATAGTTCACTGATGCGCCTTTTCTGTATACGGAGTAGAGAGAGCATTTAGGAGGACTAGGCTCTATGAAATATGTAGGAAGCTTGATTGGTACTTATATCAACCGTAAGAAAAACGGTAGCCAAATGTATTACTGACTGCACGGTTGGCGCATTGGCTGGGGAACTGGCTACTGTGCAACGTGTCGCGGATTCGATTTCCGTACAGAATAATCTGGGAGGTTTGTGTATGTGAATTCATATGTTTGTAACGCACACACAGCACACGAGAGACCACAATTGAGGGAAAAAAGAACTTATTTTACAAATAGGGTTTGATGGTGAAAAATCAAATGATTTCTCTCGCCTAGGGTCTGGCGAGAGGGAGTGTCAGACTCTCCTGCTTCAGGCCGCAGCCTCAGTAACTTTCCCGCTCGCCCCGGAAGCACGGCTCATGTTACAGATATACAGTACGGCCGACGTATCTTGGCGAATCTGAAGTTAGCTGTTTGTCTGCGCAATGGATCTTTTAGGAACAAAATTGTGTACTGCGCAGCTAATCGGCTAACTTCAGACTCGCCAAGATAAGTTGACGGTATTGTACTATAGTCATTAAACAATTACAACTAACAATATTATAATTTGGACAATACAGATAGCACTCAGGAGTGGACAACTAACAAGTTTTATCATATTTAATACGAGTATTTAGTTTACAAAGTTATTATTAGTTTATAGTAGTTGAATTTGAGTTCAAAGTTTGTTCAGCCTGCCTCGAAATGTTTACAAACACTCGCAAAATATGTCTATACGAGTACGTAGATATTCTCAAAAAACCAATAGATCATATCAGATAGCGCCCAATGTAGCCAATGTTTAGCCGGAGTCGCGGGTTAATTGCAATAAGGTACGGTAGGTAAGGTGCTAGGAGCAGGAGAGAGAAAACCTGTGGCTTTTTACTCAATACGATTCTGACACTCTCTCTCACCATTTCTCAGATGACTTCCCCTCGTGATGAATGATAAATGACGATGAATGATGATGATTTGCCCTCCACAAAAAAGGTAAAGACAAAAAAGGTATTAATGTGTAGTATAACCATTTGTAAACGGAAGCATACCCCGTAAAGTTTACTTTAAAACTAAAAACAAATACGTCAGAAAGATTGGATCAAAAATTGTTTTGATCTCTACCCTTTGTTACCATTCAAAAGTTAGTACCTACCATGCACAAACTCATAAAATGTTTATTTGCAATTTAAAGTTCGCTCACTTAAATTCAAACTCTGATTCCATTTATATAATTTCTCAACTCTAAACATAAAATATGATCATATTTTTGATCCAGATAAAATAAACGCTTTCTTTCTAAAAATAGTAATCCTAAAGATATCCCTGTCAATCAATATAAATTAAATCTTTCCGAAAATAGATATCTTAGGCTCTCAGTATCTCTGTGTATATTACGAAGTAGGTACGAAACGCCCTAAGTTAAGAATTCATAGTACAGCTATAGTATACAATCATTATTCATAGTCGTTTATCATATTTTTTGTCCTCAAATATTTGGGATCACATCCAAGATATTCCCCATTGTCATTGTACAATTCGAGAGATAACTCCCGCGTGTATTAATTTTATTGTACGAAAAAAACTTATTCACTTTCTAAAGAATTTTCATTAGCAAATATTTGCTTGGATACAGTAAGCATTAAATTAAGCAAAGATAACACAATTTTCTTTTAAATAATACTGTAAATAAACAGATTTAAAAAAAAGTTTTATGATAAATAGGTTTTGTTACGTTTAGGAACGAAGACAATTAAAATAAGGAAAAGGTTCTTGCTTCACAAAATACATCAAAAATGAAAATGTTACCAGTAGGAAATACGGCGAAAATTTCCTACTGGAAACATTTTATATCAAAACCAATTTTTGAACAGAATCTTTTAACCGATTCCAAAAAACTTTTATTCATCTGTTTTTATAACTAGCAGTTACCATTTTCACCAAAATCTCACTACAGGAACATATAAATATTCGATTAATTAAAGAATAAATCGTAGGAAAATTGACACCACAAACAATAACAACTAGGTCACATATATTTATTTACGTTTATCTTCGAAGAAAAACAGAAAGTCTAGCAAGTGACTGTTTATCTTTCAGAATGTAGTACTTATTAGCAAATTTCATTAGCTAGTTCCAGGAGTACATTGTCCACAAAATGAATTAACCTCAACAAGGAATGAGTTTTTCAAAGAAACGAGTACTTCATTCAGTTCTGCATTCCTGGTATTTAACGAAATGTTTCCATTACAAATTCATAATTCTTAGTACTATTTGTAGCTGCAGTATGACCTAATTACATTTAGTTTTGGACAATTATTTTTAATGGTTTGTTCTTTTCAAGGAAATTTGTTTTGAACTTAATTGTGTTTTAGTAAAGGAAAATCCATATCACTATAATTATGGAAGTTTAGATATAGGTAGTTCATTATAGTTTTTAATTTAATTTTTGAGGTACATTACAAGACAGGCATAGCTGAATATCGCTAAAGCCGCAAAAAAAATAATAAGCGCTTAGTTAGTAGATTAGTAATTAATTAATAAGGCTAAAAGTATTTTGCGTAAAGTAACTTCTTTACAAATTAATTTGGATTGAAGGGTATGATTGCGAAAAAAATAATTTGTATATTCTCAATTTAGTATGTAAATTCGAGTGCCTAGCATGGTGTTATTGCATATTTTTATTAACATTTAAAAAGCAAGTGGGGGAGCCAAGCTTCGGCACGAATGGGTCGGCTCGACCGGAGTGATACCACGGCCTCACAGAATACCGGCGTGAAACAACCCAGCGTTGTGTTTCGCCGTGTGAGTGAGGTTACCGGAGGCCCAATCCCTCCCCTTCCCCTATCCCTTCCCGTTCCTTTTGCGCGGCAACGCACTCGTAACTCAATTGGTGTTGCGGGTGTCCATGGGCGGCGCCGATTGCTTACCATCAGGTAATCCGTCTGATCGTTTGCCGACTTATACCATAAAAAAGCATAGTACTACAATAAAATACTACAAGTTCTCTTATTAGAACCTAATCCAAGTTTTCGGGATTGCTCAACTTACACGTAAATATTTATTTGTATCACACTTCCTATTAAAATAACAACAGCTACCTACCACCTATTAAGGCCGAGGCTTATTACCCAACTTTGTTGTTAACACCACCATAATAAATCAAAACAACTTTATTTTATTTGATAATTCGATCCATTATGATGAAATTTACAAAAAAGTTTGTTTACAAACTTATTACTTAGTTGAATATTCAAAATTTTACAGCTACAGCAATCAGAGAACGTATAGAACTTGTAAAAGTATTTTAAATTTTATTTAAAAGCACTAACTTGTACATATCTGACAGGGATGTTAGGAAGCTCTGTAACTATAACCGAAACTATCGGATATCCGATATAAAAAAATATCAGTAACCGAAACCGAATCTGAAATTAAAGTTAAGGTGAAAACCGGATAGGGGCGGAGCCTAATTGAGACACGTTGTGTGTTGTGTTTTACTTTAATATCCGGAACCGAAATTATCCGACACTAACGGATAATCTGAAATAATTTCATATCCGTAACCGTAATCGTATCCAGTATATAATAAGCATTCCTTTATCCGTATCTAATCCTATCCGAAATTTCATGTACATAACATCCCTAATATCTAAATAACATTAAATATTTTCAAATTAAACTTTATTTCAAAGTTGGTAGCCTATATTTATGAAGCACATTAATTCTATTAGTACCGTTTTTAATGAATTCATTCATCTCTGATTATATTAAAATTTAAATAAAAAGTTACATTTATTCGTGCACTTAAATGAACATTACTTTTAATTAAGAATATTAATTTACTTTGCATAATTTTTTTTCATAGCCAACTGTATTAAGAGACTTTTTAGAAGGAGGAACCTCATCACATTGCGTCTCTCACTCTGAGCGGATCGAGAAAGACTTTGAGACTCTTACCCCCGATTTCCAAAAGACCGATCAATGTTAAAATCAATTTAATCTCTTGTCAAGTCATCTGATTGGTTGACTGAATTATCAACAACCAATCAGATGACTTGACAAGAGATTTAACAGGAGATTAGTTAATTTTAGCGTTGACAAGCCTTTCAGAAACCGGGTGTTACTGACTAAAAGCCACCCCGTTCCATCTCCTAATCCAAGCTGGGGCTGCAGTACATTATTGCGCTGGCTGAATTTCAGCCCTACTGTGCCTCATCTGTGGTGGTCTATTAGCTCTTTGAGGCGCGCGTGGAACGCTACGCCCCGTACGCTCGGGTCTGGTCCTGGTCGGGCGGCGAGTGTTCGGTAAGCACTACTCCTTAACGACGAGTCTTAACGCTGCAATGAAAGCCAGCCTAACTTGTATAGAGAGATAACAAAAATAAACTGACATAATAGATCTAGTAAAAATTATGTACAAATAAATCAATTTTATTATAACTTGTCATTCCGTTCTCTAGATCACCGACAAAGAACAATCTTAAGCTAAATTATAGACAATACCTACCTACTGGTTTTAATAACGATACACGGCGCGAGTTTCATTCAACCTTCGCGTCCAATACCTTCTATTACTCGGGGAATCAGAACGGCGTAATCTATACAGAAGCATAAGGGTGCGTACAGATTGAGTAACATTTGTATACCAACTTTTGGCTTAAAGCACGTCCAAATTATCTTAAATTGTTTTTAAACATAATTATAACAATAAATGCTACTAAACTTATTAAAATATAGTTATCATATCCACCAGTCCATAGCAACCCATACCTAAAACCCTATCAATTTTTACCACATTTCACAATAGTCCTGCATCACCGGGGATTGTCCTTGGGTGCACTTTTATAGTGCATACAGGAATAATTGCCGGCTGATGTCCCATCCCATTTAGATTAAAACTGTTCAACGGGCCTCTGCGAGTTGGCTTCGGCTCCTTGTACGCCTTCCAAAGGTCGGATACCCTGTAGTCCCGTGAAAGGAAAGAACAAACAAAATAGTACTAACTAATATTGTGTATTGTGGTGTTCCTGAAGGCGCGCCCGGCAATATTTTGGCACCATTGTTATCATCTCAGGAGGAAACCTGGATTTTAAGTTTCCTCATGGACCGTGGATGTCAAGCCCGCGATATACTGAACATAATACATATATGAGTAATATCTTATGAAATAATGTTGTTGTAGCACAAAGAGAAAATAATAAAATGAAGTCAGAGATCTATACCACATAACTGAAGTTTGCGCGCCGATTAAAATATAATACATATAAATATTGGGCAGTCGCCAGTAGTTTGCTCACCAGGCATTGACACCTTACCTGATCGGAGAATTCTTCTTTTCCGATCTTAGGAAACATTACTTTCTACACCTTAACATAAAGTTCAATTTTATAACATTTTATAATAAGCCCATAATCTGTACGCGCCCTTAACATCCCCGGGGAGATCGGTTGGTACCAGTTTTTCTCTTGATTATGCGTCGGTAACACGGCCTCTGATCACGGCAATATACCGGCGATG